AGTGATGGATAGATTGTTAGAAGATCTGAAAGACCACAGTGCTTGGAGGAAATCTATCCATATGGTCACCAAGAGTCGATATTGACTTGATGGCACATAATTAATAAACCAATTATCTATAATGGAATACCTGCAAACAGGAAATTATTAGGTAAACCAATTTCTTTCCCCCCCCCTCCCCAATAGAGAGGAGAAATACAAATTATGCATGTCTTAGGTTTAACACAAATGCTAATCAACTGCAGGACAAACTAAATGTTTAACTGGACTCTATATTAAACATTGATTCCTAATTCATATATAGGCCCAAAATCCAAGGAGCTGAAAATGAATCATAATTTTTTTAAAATCCAGTTAGAGAAGGAGAAGCAAACATAAACTCAAGGCTTCATTTGACTCACAGAGTCTCATCCACGTAAAATTAAATCCAGGCTTAACATTGCCTGTTAACATAGTTTCATGGAAATGTAAACTTAAAAAAAGAATCAGATAAACTCCAAATAGTTGTTATTGAAGCTGGTGTAGGGATTATGATACTGATCAAGGACCAAGGAAATCCAAATTCAAGTCAACCTGTAACCAATATGATTCCTTTCTACTGAAGGTTCATGGCTATGGATATGAAATAAGAAATATTGGTAAATTTTAGCTCTGCGTGTTACAGTGGAAGAATTTTTATCTCAGCCATGTAGGACGTCTTCAGGACACCAGGTGGAAAAGGCTGTTTTTACCCATTCATGCTCAATGGATGGTCATCATTTTAATAATTCTTCTACTGAAACAAAGTCATCTCTTTCCTCAACTATTTCTTCTATGTTCCAATTGTGCATCATCTTCCTTGATCCATTTTAATTAGGGCTGTAGTCCTTAATAAAAGTATTGGATATGTTAAATTTTATCATGTTTCCCTGTTTGTTCTTATGGGAACACCTTCATGGAATAGGCATTGTTCTTTTCATTTACATAGGAAAGACCACCGGTCCTAAGACAATGTTCTTTCCTTTTTACACAATAGTACAATCTGATTGCTACCATACCTCTTTGAAGTGACACAATAAACAAATTACAGTTCTGGTCACCAATAATCTTCCAGAAAAGTACTGTACAACACACCACTGTCTTCATCAACAGCTTGAGAGTGAAATGGCCAAAAGGAATATAAGCCACCAGCACAAAGTTAGTAATAAGTTGAGTGGTAGCAGATCAAGTGTTTCTGTTTAAAATAAGGAGTTTGTGCATATACACATGAGAGAGAGAGAGAGAGAGAGAGAGAGAGAGAGAGAGAGAGAGAGAGAGAGAGAGAGAGAGGACTGTCAGCTTGCACACACACTTTTCTCCTTTATGCCACTTCATTATTTCAGCTGAAAAAGGAACAGCTCCTCCTCTCTCGCCTGCCTCAGCTCAGCTCGTAGTAAAGAGGGACGCTTTTGTTTACCAACTCTCCCACATGCTTGGATGACACATGATGCTCCTACATTATTTCTGCTCTGCAGTGGTTCCTCACTGGCTCTTGGTGCCACAGCAACGCACACATCTTGCCTGAAGAAAAGGGAGGGGAAGATCCACATTTCTTTTTTTGGTTACAGCTTTTTTTCCCCTGGGGCATTCTTGGACACATTTCCCAGACAAAGACATTGGATAGCTGCACTCCCCAGATGGAACGGGTCATGTTACAACCAGTTCTACAGCTTCCCTTCAGGACTCTTGACAGGAAAAACAAAGCCCTGTTAACCTTTGCCACTCTAAACAAAGTTAGCTACCCCAGAACTGACATTAGGGACAGATGCTGATGGAATGCTATCTAGGATGGGAAAAACATCGCCAGAAAGATTTCAGCGGAGAGGGAGGTGATTAATTCTTCTCTCACCTATCAAACATATGGAGTTCCTATATTTACCAAGAGCAAGAAGTTAGAATGGCACTCCAACACTTGAGGAATTGCTTTTATTCTAGTAAATCATTTCCCCCCCCCACACACACACACACTTTGGCAAAATTGTTCTCTTTTGATGAATGTAAAATCAGAGATACCACTCTTTGTGTAGAACCATTTGCCCTACCCCCACCCCCAAACACACTTCAGGCAAGCACAGTTACATCCCAAAAATTGTGGGCAGAAGTCTGGGAGAAAGAGGGTAAAATGAATGAAAATGAAGCTCGAGAATGTAGGAAAAGCAATGGGGCAATCTGAACATCTGGCACTGCATGGAACTCTAGCCACTCTAGTGAACATATACACACATCTATTCCTCCCTGAGCAAATTCTGCATTTGCAAGAACTTGGCAGCTGCAGCAGAGTTCCTATAGGAAATAGCAATGGCTGTAACCTAAACTCTAGCCCTCTGCAGCCATTGCCTAGTTTCATCCCCCACATGACCCAGGTCCACAACAGCTTCCTGAAATGGTTGCAGGCTACCACTCCTGTTCAGTTGGAAACACCCACAACTTTCTTTACTTGATTTATATCCATTAAAACAGCTCCAAGGAATTTCTTATCTTCCACAAGTACATTCTTTTCATAAAAGCACAAGTTTCCTTTACAAATACGGTAGACTTCATTATGGATCTCATTGGCCCCTAACCAAAGCACTTGTCTTTAGAAAAGAAACAGAACCCTCAGCAGTGATAAACTCCTGAGTGCAATTCTTCTCAGAAGGAATGTAAAGTGGCCCGAGCTGAAATCAGATAAATCTGAGTAGGTTAAAATAAACTGGCTTGGGTGATTCCTGCTCCTCCTGCAAAGCATTCTGAGAGATCTGCTTCGGAGGGCTTCACACAAGGTAGGACAATCCACAAGCGTACCTTACAAATTAGTAGTGGGAAGTGGAGGCTGGTGGGGGTGAATAGAGAGAAAGAGGGGAGGGAAGGGAAGAAAAAAGCCCCCAATGTCCAAAGATAACATCCTTGGAATGATCCTCCTCCCAGGGGAAAGGACAGATGCTCAGAACTTTATAGCGGATTGGTTAGGTGTAGGATATTTTATAAAACAGATAGAAAAGTTTGTGGTGAGCCTTCTGAGGACACCTCCTACGGTACTTCTGCAAATCTTCCCTTGCAGAGAACTTTAATCAAAAAGTCTAACACAATACTCCTTTGAAGATGGGTTGGCACCAAGATCTTTTTTGTGAAGATGCCAAAAGACACCTCAGAGTGCCAATAGAGTTGGTGAACTAGTGTAGCACGGCTTCCCCTCCCAAATTTAGCATCTCACCTTTGCTAGAAACTCAATGGCCATGTTCATACACAATGTGATTTAAGAAAATCAATTTAAAACCTAGCAGATGCATTTACACAACATGCTAAGCTTGCTTAAGGTTCATCCTGGACTGGGTTTAGATCTTGTTTTATGTGGCTTAGTGTGCTAGATATACCCAAACTTTTCAGTTAATTTATGGCTCTGCATATTATGCGAATCTGGTTATTGATATAACTTATTTTCAGGGTTACTATGTTTTGTGAACACATCCACTAAGAAGCTTTAGGCAAGCCCTTCGATCGGTCTTGGAGACTTACATCTATTTGCAATCTGGGGAGAATAGAACTAAATAGGGTTTGCTGGCTTTGAAAATGAGAAGTGTTTTGGATTATGCATGTGCATGAGTGCAGCATCTCCCAGCTCTTCACTTAAACAGCCTGCCTTTTTTCAGCTTTCCTTGTGAGACAACTGCTGCTTTAACAATCACGTTAATGAATGGATAGAATATACTGTAGCAGGAGCACTTTTCCCCCCCCCACAATTACAAGAAAGTCTGGAAAAACTCTGGCTGCTTTAAGTAAGACCAGAAAAGTGCTGTGTGTGTGTGTGTGTGTGCAAGTTTCAAAGTACTTGTTTTGAAACATTTCTGAAGCATGCAGGGCCTCGGTACTAACTCTCTTTATTGTAACAATTATAATATAGACTACTTTTGGTACCTGGGAGAATTACACAGGTGCTTTGCACTGTTATTGTTGCACTCAAAGCTTTTGATGAACAAGGACTATTGCCATGGCCTCATGCTTCACCCGTCACGCCATGTTAGTTTCTTTCATCTGTTTCACAAGAGAGCCCCAAAAGAAGAGCAAATCTCCAAAGTGATGGATACTTCAGAGCACTAGGGGAGAGAGTTGGATTATTCATGGTATTTAAGGCTGAACTACATTTGAGACTAGATGTCAAAGCATGAAATTTGGCTTCCTGGGGTTAAGATGATAGAATTATACTGGAAGCCTTGCCTACTTTTTCTGCTATCCAGCTGATGGACTTAATCAGCAGAAAATATTCTACCTTTTCATGACTAATGGAAACAGAAGACCAGCCCCTTACAGCATCGGAGATGGCAGAGAGGCCTTGTTCTTTCTCCCTCTCCTAACACCCCTGCTAAAGTGATAAATCTGAGGTAAATAGGTACCCATTAAAATATTTGCAGTTTCTAAATTGTCCTTGGGAGCAGACGGCAAGGCTCAAAGTGGTAGATTGGTAAGCAGAAAGAAAATAAAAAGCATATACTGTATTTAGAAACCCTCCTCAGAAGGACTAAACCTGCCCACCACTAAGAAAGATTCTTTTCATCTTTGTTTCATTGATTTCTCTTTACTTTGTTTAATAGTCTTAATAGAAGACATTCAGAAACAAATCTATTTCTTTCTTTATACTGTAGCTCCCTGCAAACTTTATTATTATTATTTTTTTGGTTCGGCTGCAGCATAACTGAACAAAGGAAACCAACTTTACATTCAGAAACAATAATTATATTAGCATTTCTGTGAGGCAGAGCTACCTCTGTAAACAAATTACAATAGAAATGAATAAAGAATAATATAGATATATATTTCAAAAAAAAGTTCCCAGTTTTGAAACAAACTGTATATTATTAATATTAACACAAAGCGCATTCTAAGCATATTGGCAATGATGGCGCAGAAGTTACACTACTTGGCTAATCAATATATTCATAAAGCCTTCTTCCAATGAATTAATTCTTACAGCTACCCCTACTTTACTTGCTCGTCAAGCTGCCTACCCTCTGTAGATGAAGCCTGTGGAACTGATCTGCAATGCACTGTAACTTCCGTGCAATCTGAACTTCGGTACGCAATTCCTGCAGACTTTCCTGAGGTTCCTCCTGGAGATGTGGATTCAATGTGAAACCAACTGGTTGGACATGTAAACGGTATCCAGCGTTTCCTGCCAAATATCATAGAAGAAGGTGTTTATATCATAATATGGTATGCCATCAACAGCATGACATTCAACAAAGTTTTTGTTAATTGTTGTGCCTCTGCGTTAGCACTGACTGCCTGGATTAGGCCCTTCAGAAGTGGGTTTGCCATTGCCTGATTCACAGGGCTGAAAGAGAATGACTGGCCCAAGGTCAACCAGCTGACTTTGTGCCTAAGTCAGGACTAGAATACATAGGCTTCTGGTTTCTAGCCTAGCACCTTAGCCACTACATCAAACTGCTTCTTTTAAATAATATAATTGAACTCTAATTCAGAATATTATACCCATGGCAACTAATATGATTTTAATCGACATTTAATTTAGTTTTGTTATTGCATCTATGCCCCACCTTTCTACCGGGAGTTAAAGCTGGTACTCCCCTCATTTTTCCTTCACAACAACAACGTGAGGAAGATTGGACTGAGAGGAAGTGACTAGCTCAAATTTACCAGGGATCTTTATGCCAAGTCCCAATTCAAAACCGTAACAACACACTAATTCCCTAACAGAATTAAATTTGAATTGCAGTTAGTTATCAATTAATTTGAGAAGAGGACAACTTAGATTATTTTTCTTCTAAATTATTATTGCAGATGCTACTATTGGTCTATAAGGAACGAGAGCCTATAGCACATCCTAGAAATGTCAACTGAGAGCAATTTATTCATTAATTCTGCATTTAAGATGCAAACAATTAATATATTTTTCATTCATCATCTACTTCTTTTTGTGCTAACGTGAACTCTTTTTGAATAAACAGGTATTCCTCAACGTACGACCACAATTAAATCCAAAATTTATGTTGCTAAGTGAGACATTTTGCCCCCTTTTACGACCTTTCTTGCCACAGTTGGTAAGTGAATCATTGCAATTGTTAAGTTAGTAACATGGTTGTTAAGTGAGTCTGGTTTACCGATTAACTTTGCTTGTCATGTTGCAAAAGATGATTACATGATCCCAGGACACTGCAACCATCATAAATAGTTGCCAAGCGTCTGAATTTTGATCATGTGACCATGGGGATGGTTCAACGGTCTTAAGTGTGAAAAATGGTCATAGGTCCCTTTTTTTTAGTGCTGTTGTAACTTTGAACGGTCACTAAATGAACTATTGTAAGTCGAGGACGACCTGTATTAGGAAGATTGTTTCTAAGTGACTTGGCACCAAAATCCAATGGAAGGTTTCATTGCTGCCAAATGTCGGTGAACAAAGACAAACTCTCTAAAACAAGGGTCTTCAAACTCGGCCCTTTTATGATTCATGGACTTCAACTCCCAGAACTCCTCAGCCAACGTGCCTGGCTGAGGAATTCTGGGAGTTGAAGTCCATGAGTCATAAAAGGGCCTGAGTTTGAAGACCCCTGCTCTAAAAGAATGCAAATAACCAGCTGTCTGTAAGGAGTATAAATCCTTCCATTCCCCACCATCCAGTCAGAGCTGAAGAAGCTTCTTGGATGAGAAGTGAAACGTCTTCGAAGAGAAACAAGAAAGTCCAGTTGCCTCATGAAAAAGCATATTTGGGACAACCGTGACCTGGATGATTGAGAATCTCCATAGACAAAGACAAGAGAGCACATGTATGTCTTGAGGTACTGGCTGCCCAGTCCTGCTCTAAATAAAATACACTGAGCATGACGTAGGACCTCCCTGTATCTGTTTCAAGCAGAGCCAGGCAAAAGGTTCTGAGATAACTATCTGAAGCGGCAATTGCTGCTTTGCTCAAAAACGGCAGAGTTCATTTTAAAAAAAGGGAACAGATTATATCTGTCGTTCATTGCCTTTTTTTTTCCTTCACCGTAGACTAAGGAGCAAGTATGATTCTTACCATAAAAGAGTCTCTGAGGCTCTTCAGTGACTCCACAAGGTAACATGATATCCTGGCTGGAAGAGGATGCATTGAGGGTCTGTGTTGCCTTGTCCTGTTGTCTGGCATGCTTGCTGCCTGGGCCACAACAGTGTGCAAGTGGGAAGAGCTGGAACCTGCCCAGGAGGCAGTTGTAAGATTTGCTTTGGGTGAAAATGCCACGAAAGGCCATCTTGCTGGACTGACTGACCAGTTCACAGTCATCCGAGTGGAACACATCGTCATCCAGACCATCCAAATGGGAAAAATCATCTTCCAGGTAAACGGGGGGATCCATTTCCCCTGCAAAAAAATATAATTAATAAGAATAATAAGAATATTACAAAGCTGGATAATACGCTATTGAATAGCAGAGTAAAAACATACAAGCATTTCATTTGTGCTGCCACACAAAGCTATTTCTGAATGCTGTCTGGGGAATAAAAGTTAATTGGTTAGGGAAGGAGGCCCTTTGACCCAGTTCTCCCTTCTTCTTTAAAACAAAATTCTGAAGCAAAAGGGAAACAAAATGCCATTTAAAGTTCAGACTGTTTACAGTCTGGTCAGCCCTATGAAGAAAGTTAAAGGGGGAAAAAATAGCTTCCAGGAAAATTATTTTAGAATGCAAAGGCTATAAACCACATTAATGCTTTAACAAGCAAAAATCTCTCAAAAAATACTGTTCCTAATTCTCTACGTAGTTTTGAGAATTCGTAATGTACGGTATCTGAAAACATTGATTAATGTTTGTGAATCTAAATAATAGAGCCAGGGGATCCTGGGACTGAGTGTGCTACTCAAATTTACTAGGAAATACATCCAAGTACAGCTGGTTTTTGCCATTTTAATGCAAAAAGTTCCATGAGTTTGTCTTGAAAATGAACTACTTAAAGTTCTAAGTCTGCCGTCGTAAATTTGGAATGGGGAGAAATACTTCCCATGTCCATAGGAGAACTAGAATAAATATGTATCACACACACACACACACACACACACACACACACACACATTTACTTTTTAAAAATTCTGCAGTGCAAAATGCATAGAAAAGTAAAATTTAAGGGAAAGTGTGCAATACATCTCTCTGTATCCATATAATATATATGAATGCCTCTCTTGTGCATCTGTGTATATAAACCCTACGTGGCATAGGGCCAGGCTACTTATGGAACTGGCTTCCCCCAATCACATTAGCCCATCCCACGCATTCAGGCAAGGAATGCTATGGATCCCACCAGAATTTACACTGGTGGGATCTAGGAAGAGGATCTTTTCTGCCGCTGCCCCTGCACTGTGGAAGATCTTGCCCTCAGAGGTAAGGAAAGCCCCCAATGTCTTGGCCTTCTGCAAAGGAAGGGGTCAAAACTTGGCTGTGCAGCCTTGCGTGGGCACACAGGGGCCCACCCAACCATGGGGGCTGGTTGGCCCCATGGGAACCTTTTCGCCTGTATTAACAACTATAATAATAATAATAATAATAATAATAATAATAATAATAATAATAATAATAATAATAATAATCTGCTGCAAGAAGATTGCACAGACTGACTACAAGCAGCAGCATGACAAAGTAGCAACAATGGTGCATTGGAAGATCTGCAAGAAATATCATTTGCCTGTAAGCAAAAACTGGTGGGATCATAAAATAGAGAAAGTCATAGAAAATGATAAAATTAAACTACTCTGGGACTTCAGAATTCAAACAGACAAGCACCTGCAACATAACACCCCGGACTTAACAATTGTCGATAAGAAAGACAAAAAAGTCTGGATAGTGGACGTGGCAGTGCCTGGAGACAGCAGAATAGACGAGAAAGAACTGGAGAAGATAACAAAATACAGAGACCTACAAACAGAAATAGAAAGACTGTGGCAAAAGCAAGCAAAGGTAGTACCAATAGTAATAGGTGCCTTGGGTGCAATCCCAAAACAACTGGAGCACCACTTGAACACCATTGGCATTGACAAATTCGCTACTAGTCAATTGCAAAAGGCGGCCTTACTAGGAACTGCTTCCATCCTGCGACGATATCTGTAATACCATCAAACATCCACATCTGCCTATCCCAGGTCCTGGGTAAGGACTCGATAGGTAGACAAAATGCCAAATCCAGTCTGAACATCTGGCTGACTGTGCGATGATCCATAATAATAATAATAATAATAACAACAACAACAACGATAAAGTTGGAAGGGACCTTGGAGGTCATCTAGTCCAACCTCCTGCTCAGGCAGGAAACCCTATACCATTTCGGACAAATGGCTGTCCAGTTTCTTCTTAAAAACTTCCAGTGTTGGCACATTCACCGCTTCTGGAGGCAGGTTGTTCCACCGCTTCTGGAGGCAGGTTAATTGTTCTAACCATCAGGAAGTTTCTCCTTAGTTCTAGGTTGCTTCTCTCTTTGGTTAGTTTCCATCCATTGCTTCTCGTCCTGCCTTCAGGTGCCTTGGAGAATAGCTTGACTCCCTCTTCTTTGTGGTAGCCCCTGAGATATTGGAACACTGCTATCATGTCCCCCCTCGTCCTTCTCTTCGTTAAACTAGACATACCCAATTCCAGCAACCGTTCCATCTTGGAACTCTCCATCTTTTGCAATTTTATAATGTTTATATCATTCTGTTATTAGTGCTTAATTTCACCTATTAAATTGTACAGCACTCAGAGCCCTTCTTTGAAGGAGATGGGCAGTTAAGAAGTGTGAAATATAAATAAATAAATACCATTCATGGCCTGGGACCAGGCTATTTAAAGGACTGCCTTTCCCCATTTACATCAACTCGCCCCATCAGATCTTGCAGAGAAGGCATGCTGCAGATATCATTGGTCAGGGATCTACATTTGGTGAACCCCAGGACATGAGCCTGCTGTGGTGCCCGGCTTATGGAACATCCTTTTTCCCAAAATTAGATTGGCCCCATCCCTTTTGACATTCCATAAGACCCTCAAGATCTGCTTATTTGCCCAGACCTGGCTAGATAGCTCCACTATTGAGAGGGCCATTTCTTATTTTTCCTTCACTTTGATTACATTTTTAAGGATATTTATTACTAAGGGGTTTTTTTATATTTGTATTCACTGTTTTTATATTTTTATTATCTATTATTGTATGCTACCCAGAGGTACCTTGCTGAGACGGGCAGCTATATAAGTTTGATAAATAAATAAACTCCCTGAGACAAACACATTGTATGTTATATCCAGAAGCAGAGGGGATTTAGGCTGAGAAACTGGGAGAAATTAATCATCCTAGCTGATCTTGACAAAAGTGTTCACACTTAGCTGATCCAGTCAACACCTGATAAAGAAGAAACAGTGTAGTTCTGGGCACAGCTATGGGACAACGCAAAGAAATACAACTAGAATGCATAAAGGAGGTGAATAAGAATAAAAGGAGGTGAATAAGAATAAAAAAAGAAGCTAAAATAAAAGGAGTAACAGCAGATGTAGTGGGAAAAGCGCAAGAATGATCAAGAACTGGTCAGCATCAGGTGAAGGTGAATCGCATGGTTTGGGGTTGAAATATTTGATTGGTCTACACCAGGGATAGGCAACCTTGGCTCTTTTATGACTCGTGGACTTCAACAAGGTTGCCTACCCCTGGTCTACACTTACCTGTTGCCAAGCAGTTTAATAACATACTACAAAGAGGTGAAACTGGAGATTTGTTAACATCTGGCAAAATCTATCTGATAATGAAAGATCCAACAAAAGCAACTCAGAGCACATAAATTTAATAAATAAACAAACAAGCAAGCACCAGGCAACTACAAGCCAATTACCTGCTTATGAACAACTTTCAAATTGCCAACTGGTATGGTAGCTGATGAAGTCCAGCAGCATTTAGTTAAAAACAAGCTCTTTCCACCTGAGCAGAGAACAAATTGCTCACACACCAGAGGAACAAAAGATGAGCTCCTAATTGATAAGAAGGTTTTGGAACACTGTAAGAGAAGAAAGACCAACTTGAATGTAGCTTGGATTAATTACAAGAAAACATTTGACTCCCTACCGCATGATTAGATAATCAAGTGCCTAGAAATAACAAGTCAGTAGAAGCATCAGAAGCTTTGCACAAAGATCAATGGCACAATGGAAAACACAGTTGCCAGTCAATGGTGATAGATTGGGAGAATTTAATTTCAAGAGATCCATCTTTCACGGAGACTCAGTCTCACCACCAGTGTTTGTCATTGCTCTGATTCCTCGGTCAATAATACTGAACAAGTCAGACCATGGCTATCAAACATTAAAAACATCTCCCACCTCTTTTCCATGGATGATCAGAGGCTGTCTGAAAAACAGCTGCTGAAGTAGAACTGCTGCTCAACACTGTCCATATATGCAGCCAAGATATTGAAATGGGGTTTGGATAGGACAAATGTACCACTTTCACCCTCAACAGGGGAAAATGGTGAAAACTGAAGGAATCAAAATGGCCTATGGCAGGGGTAGGCAACCTTGGCTCTTTTATGACTCGTGGACTTCAACTTCCAGAATTCCTGAGCCAGCATGGCTGGCTCAGGAATTCTGGGAGTTGAAGTCCACAAGTCATAAAAGAGCCAAGGTTGCCTACCCCTGCCCTATGGAAATAACAATAGTCTGGATGAAAACCATTACTACAAATACCTGGGTATCTTTCAACCTGACTATATCAAGCACAGTGAAATCAGGAAGAAAGTTAGAAGTCAATATATCAAGACAGTAAAAGTCTTAAACACCAAAGTCATTAGAAGGAATGTCATCAGGTCAATTAGGAACTGGGAAATTCCACAGCTGGAATAGTGGCCTGGACTCAAGCAGAAATAAAAGCCCTGGATAGGAAAACAAGAAAAATAATGATAACGAATCATGGCCTTCATCCATACAGCAATGTTGACAAACTCTACGTACCAAAGAAAATGAGCAGGTATGCAATATTGCCAGTACATCAGACAGCTGAAGAAGAAAAAGGGGAATTGGAAGAATACCTAGAGGACAATGAAGAATAGAATAGAATAGAATAGAATAGAATAGAATAGAATAGAATAGAATAGAATAGAATAGAATAGAATAGAATAGAATAGAATAGAACCTTGGAGGTCTTCTAGTCCAGCCCCCTGCTCAAGCAGGAGAATCTATACCATTTCAGATAACTTAACCTTACCAGGAAAGCTGACTGAGACCTGGAGAGACTAAATTGGCTTACAAGAAAGACCAAATGAAAAACAGAAAAGAGATGTGGCTAGACAAAGTATAACATGGTCAGTACATTAAAAAAAAGCAGGCAAAGCAGACCTGGCAATGGCTAAGAGCATGAA